TCTTCCGTCGATTCATATCGTAAGTAACGTTCTGGGAGACTTTTTTTGTTATTTTTTAGGAAAAGAGGTTTTTTCAGTTCAGGTTATGATCTCAAAGATATCGCAAATTGTGATGAAACTGGTTTGTTCTTTCCTAGGGGCTTTTAAGTCAAAATATACATTCGTATTTGTGTGAATATTTCGTGAATATTGCATATAATCCGTGTATATGATGTATATTTTCACGAAAAATATTCACCATATTCACAGAATATACACAGCATGTAAAAATATGTGTTTACGGCAATGTCGAATCTTTGTTACCGATCGTGAATATGAGGTGTATATTTCATGAATATCGTGTATATTCCGTGAATATCGTGCATATTTTGCCAGTATTGTGAATATTTCGTATGACTGTCATCTATGGTGTATATTTCTTGGATGGAATATACATGAAAGCCCCTAGGTTCTTTCGTGCAATTCCAAACAAAACGCTGTATCCCAAAGGTGAGAAATGTTTTGGTGGTAAACGGTCAAAGGAACGATTGACAGTGATGTTGTGTTGCTTTGCTGATGGATCTTTTGAGAAACCATTGATTATTGGCAAAGCTCAAAATCCCCGATGCTTCAAAAACATTCGAAAGGAAAATTTGCCGATCACATGGAAAGCAAATAAAAAAGCGTGGATGACAACACGGATCATGGAGCAATGGCTGATTCAATTCAATCGAAAAATGGTGATTCAAAAACGTAAGATTTTGTTATTCCTTGATAACGCATCAAGTCACCCACATTTGAAGTTGTCAAACATCGAACTTGTGTTTTTACCACCAAATACGACAAGTCACACTCAACCGTTGGATCAAGGAATTATTAATTCCTTTACAATCGAAACGAGTAAATTATTGGATACAAGCAATTCAAGCGATGAAGATGATGAAGATGACGCATACGTTGAAACCGACTCGGCTATTACACACGGCGAAGCGTTAATGTGTTTGGATCGCATCAAAGCATATACATGCAAAGAAGGCCTGAGCACATTGCTGTCCAAAACTGCTGAATGTGCAATCTTGATTCAAGATAATGTTTTCACAAAACGAACCAAACAAACGACTATCGGCGATTATTTCAAGAAAACGTCTACGTAATTCAAATAAAAAAAACATTGTTGTGTTTACCTAACATTTCGAGCACATTTGAAATAGAGTAATTTCGTATCATTTCTGTTGAACTTACAATTTTATTTATTTTGCATTTTTATTAGTATTAGTTGGACGATTTGCAATTGACCATTTCATTTTATTCCATAGTTTTAGCGTCATTTTTTCAGTTTAATCAGCCAAATTCATTCCAAACAAATCTGCGTAGCAATAAGAAGGAACAATAGAACATTGCTATTTATTGTTTATACAATTAAGCAAAACATTGTGTGTTTTATTCCTTACTTTTCACTTCCAGAGTTTTATGATAAATATTTTCATGGCTTACTTTTTGGAGGTGAATAAACTCCGGTTTTTTAGTCGATTAGTCATAAGATAAGAAAGATAATTTGCTTTTTGGTGATTTGAACCCCTAAATAGCGGAAACTTTGGACCATAACGATTTTAAAACCTCTTTTTAGCGAAAACTCTGTTTAACGGAAACCTCCAGATAACGGAAAATTTTCTCGCACCATGCGATTCCGTTATAGAGAGGTTTTACTGTAATAACCTGATAAAAAAATGATAGCGTTATTAACCCTAATCCACACCCCTGGGTCTGGCCAGACATATTTCGTTTTCAAACGTTAATTTAACATATTTCTAGTTAAGCTAGCGACTTGTGCTCTCGGGTAGCCTCCTAAAATTTTATTGGCTACCGATTTATGAAATAAAACATTATCCTTACAGAACAAAAAAAGGACGAAAAAAGGATTTGCAAAAACTACACCCTATTCCACACTCCTCGGGTCTGGCCAGACCCGTATACATTTTGTATGGAAACATATGGAATATACTGTGTTTTGATAATTCTATGTGGTTTTTTACCTCTCTAACATTACCTTGTTTATTTTCCTCAAGACAGTTATCATTTATCACTAATCAGTTCCGCGGAATACGCGAAAAACGCGAAAAATCGCGAAAATTCCCCTTTTCATCATTCACGGAACTGATAAGAGATAAGTGATATATGTCTGCAGCAAAGTTGTAGAACAGGTCAAGTCCCATACTTTTTGTGAAGATACTATCTCCTTATCTCTTATCAGTTTCGCGAAAAATGATGAATGATAAAAAAATGATAACTCGCCTTTTTTCGCGATTTTACGCGTAACTGATAAGAGATATTGAAATGTATCATGAATAAAATTATAGACTCAACCTGCCTTACAAATTTGCTGAAAACACATATCCCTTATCTCTTATCAGTTACATGAAAAACGATAAGGAAAAACGCGTTAATCTCGCGGCTTTTTTGAGGTTATCTGCGTATTTTGCGTAACTGATAAGAGATAAGCGATATCTGCCTTCAGAAAATTTGTAGGGGACCTTGAATATTACAACTTCACCGAAGATACCAAGCCGTTATCTCTTATCAGTTTCGCGAAAAAACGCGATTCTCTCTTATGACTTTTCGCGGAACTGATAAGAGATAAGAAGATATTGTCTTTGAAAAAATTGTAGTGCTTGACCTGCTCGACAACTTTGCTGAAGACTTATATCACTTATCTTTTATCAGTTCCGTTAAAATTGAGCCGGCATGCATCACTTAATCCCATACAAATACATGTAAATGCATACGGGTCTGGCCAGACCCGAGGGGTGTGGAATGAGGTTTTAGAAAAGGAGTGTGGACTAGGGTTAAGATTTATCGGTATTATGATCGGATCTCAATAATCTCTCAAAATTATTAGGATGGTTATTAAGATACGAATATGGCACAGCTATAGTTTTCTGCAGTTTCTCGCGTATTCCGCGAAACTGATAAGAGATAACGACTTGGTGTCTTCGGCAAAGTTGTAGAACAGCTTGAGTACTACAACTTCACCATAGACAACAAGTCGCTGTCTCTTATCATAGTCCATTTATAATACAGTAAAACCTGTCAATAACGGAACCTGGGAATAGTGGAAATCGTGTCAATAGTGGAAAAAAAATTTGGCCGTTGAGCTCTCCCCTACAATTTGACCTGTTAATAACGGAAAACCGAAACTCCGAATAGTGGAAAAAAGAACGACGAACTTGGTTGAATTCTTCACAACTTTGACATTTCGATGTACACACACATATAAATACGTATGGTGGATTGGAAAACGTCAGCAATGAACTATACTAACACTTGGTGTAGCAAGTTCATCGAATGTGTGAACGGGTGACAATATTCGATGAATTCAAAATCATATGAAAAACCACACAAGTGTTGACAGTGCAAACTCACGATTTTTTCAAAATATTTCTTTGGAAAACAAATCGTGGATGAAGCCTAGGCTTTGCAGAGCTCGAATATCAACAATAAAAGAAAATAAATGAATATAATTCCCAAACAAATAATGTATATAAAATATATGGCGTTTCCAATCTCACCACTGTTCACCACAATCAGTCAAAGCATTAATGTGAATGACGCATGACAAAGTGACTTTGACAGCACACGCATTAGGGTGGTGCGATTTTTAATATCGTACAAAATCAAAAACGGCGGGTGCGTGATCGATTTGGCACCTCAAAAGAAGAAATTTTTGTTCTGGGACATATGCCGAAAAGTTGAATCCCACAGGGCCCACTCAATTTTTATCTGGTTCATTTTTTATGATTTTTCCAGACTATTTGTTGAAATATCTCAAAAAATACCCCCTTTTCTTGCATTCAAACTATGATATTTGGATTTATCGCGAAAAATTACATAAAAATAAGTCGGTTTGGAATCATTCCAGCGCGATTTTGTCGCCTTCGTAGGTCAAAAATCGTCCAAGTATCCATTTTTTGGCTACTTCTCCGCAAAAACTCACCTCTGGACCCTCGAAAAACCTCAAATGCATGGCCAAAATTGACTTTATTTAGTCTAATTTTTGACGAGGAATTCAAATCTGATCAATAGATGCACATAAAATAGTGATTTGGTGGCTCTACAGGCTCGAATATACTCGGAGATGGCCAAAAAGTCGCCATTTTACGCTACATATAGCTGAACTGGTCCAGTTTCATTCGAATTTGAAACGTCTGAAGAGCTATTTCTACATGATTTTTGACGTAGAATTGATTTCCGCCTTCATTTTGTATAGATTTATATGATTTTTGTATCGTAAAATGCGTTTATTTTAAGCAAAATGAGAAAATCACCATGAGCTTCGGTTTAACAGTGATATTACCGCACTAAGCGAACAATTTCTTCCTTCACTGCCTTTTGACTTCTAGTGTGGTCCCTTACGAACATTTTGAGTACTTTCATGATCATATAATTCGAGTGATGTTTTCACATATTTCTGGCCTCATATTCGCTTGGTGTGAGCTCAACTTACGAAAAAGCGAATTTTGTTCAAAAAATCTCTAAATATACACATTCCACGGTTAGTGTCTTGGTGAAAAGTTTTTTTTTCGAAAATACGGGGAGTTCATCGAGATAAAAAAAATTTGAGGTACTTGTCGAACAAAAGTAACATTTCCTATCGATTTTGACATTGTTTGTATAATTTGAATGGTTTTAGTGTTATAAAAAGCGCTGATTTGAATGAAAAAAGATAAATGTTCCGCATTTAGTTTGTTTTTATTCAATACTAGGAAATCAAATGGAAAATTGTGTTGATACATTTTCGTGTGATTCGACATTGTAGTCTGCTTTTGTGTTGAAGCTAGGATTTTTTTCACGTGAGTACAGCGTGTTAAAAATGAAACCGTTTCTCGCTTCCTCGCCGCAAAGATTTTCCGACGCTTTTGTCATCTCCTTGACAGCTCGTTCAACCGATTGTGTGTGTAAAGGGATTTGAGCTAAAAATGCACCAAACTCATGGCAAAGTATTCGCTGATTGGCGAAGTGGTCGATATCGTCGTGAGTATTGGCACTCTGAACTTTCGTACGTAATCATCTGGAGTTTCGCGATCTCTGGCATCCAATATCAATTCCCGACCTTTACGTCTGATTTCTTCACGATCATCATTTAACATCGAAACTACAATGTGTTCTGCATGAGCAAAAAAGGCATTTCTGCTTAAAGCTTCATCGACAACTTTTAATGCGGTTCCTTGCAAAAATCTTGACGATTTTACCATTTTGGTAAAATGAATTGGTGCGTATACGACAGATGATTGATATTTCATCTCAAACATGGCGGGTGCGTAGACGGCCATTATGTATCTGACAATGACTTTCAAATTAGCTGATGGATTTCCATCTGTCACATAAACACGAAGTACTCGATTCGCTGTTGTTGTCCAGCGCGAATGTGAAACAGGGCCAAGTGTTCGACTTGCTAACTGGTCCGAAACCGTTCCATTTGAAATTGCAGAGCAAATGTTGTAAAGATAATTTTGATCGGTGTTCAAAGTCTTGCTAATTTCATCTAAATTGGCAGCGCACACAAAATTGATTTTCTCAAATTTGTCAATTGGAAGATTCATGTTTCCATTAATCCGCTTGCCTATTGGCCCCGAATACGATGTTGGCCCACTAGTTGTCCCATCAAGATTTTTAATCAATGCACGAAGCGGAAATTCGTTTAAATGGAGCATACAAATATTCCATTGTAATGGCTTCTGCCATTCTTCTTCCAAAAACCGAATAACACCACCATCCGGACCTGTGTTGGTAATCTCCCCATCGCTACCAATTGCCTTGATTTGCTCTTCAATACCATGTTCATCTGTAAATTCAACGAGGGCATCTCTAATCGCATCTGCGCGTTTCGATTCAACCGCCTTGTGACCGATAAAATACCCGTTTGGCTGTTCCACAATGGAAATGTGCTCCTCTTTTTCAAATGTTTTCTTTCTATTTATATATTTCATCGTATCATCATTTCTGCCGTCAAAATAGAGAGCAACCAGTTCATCAAGCTTAAGGTTTGAGGCTCGAGTTCTTCGTTGTTTTTGACGAAAACGGCGAATTTTATACCGATCGATTACAAACTTCTTGTCATTGGGAGAAATCACTTTAAAATCGTATAGAGTGGCGGTGG